AATATTTGATTTTTCACTTCATCCATAAGATCCCCTGAACCTGACTAAGGAAAACACTTGGAAAGTTGTTGGTTTTTTTAAACTCTTTTTTATAAAGATACTCTTGAGCAATATCAAGAAGGGGTCCTTGTCCAGATACCAGGACACATTTTTCATGATAACGCTTGAACATCCGCAGAGGACTGTGTGACATCATCACTTGATCTTGGGAAATCTGATTGGGATTTAAAAACAAAAGGAGCCTGCTGTATTTCAGAGAAGTTGTTTATACTTCGATTCAATTAACAGATGTGACAGATTCCAGGAATTACACAACAGTCAGCATTTTCTCCTTTCACAAATGATGTATTGATAATATGCTAGAAAAAAAATTGCTTACTGACAAATTATCACACATAGCCCTTTCAGCTTCCAGCTCAATTCAACGTGAACAAGCCTTTCTCTCCTGGTTTTATAAAATGACCAGATTAATCTGGAAGCAAACAGGAAGGAGAATCAGAAGTGGTTCCAATTCTGGGCCCTTTCTAAACTGCAGCTCTGATTTAATTGCACCAGATTATCACCTACTTTTAGTTTACATATCCCCAGCCCTTCAGCAGGACAGGTAGTAACCAGTAAGACTATTATTCTGGAAAGATGCTCCCGTGAATCACTACTTACCATCCTTCCAAAGAAAAATTGGAAAAACCAGTGCCTTTACCAGCGGCAAAGCCATTAGCTTTGCCCAGCACTTTTTACTTTCAGCAGAGCGTGTCAGGGGGCTTAAGGGAAAAGCAGACCTGAGAACTGAGCAGCACTTAGTGGAAGATAATACATCTGACACATTTAAGATGCTAATGGACTCAGTGGGGTTTAGGTGACTCACTGGAACCCCCAGCAGGTGAGAGAGCTGGTCAGCCTTTTTCTGGCGCAGGCAGTTCCCCGCGTTGGTGACGAAGACCACGGGCACCAGGAACTGTCCCTGGGAGTTGACCAGCTTGCGAAAGGCTGTTCTGGCAGCAGGAATGGGGGTCCTCCCTCGCACCAGCACCCCATCGATGTCAAAGAGGAATCCAAAGGATGGCAGCGTGCTGAGCTGCAAGGAGGGATGAAATCAGAGGGTACGTTAGTTATGCCTGTCCTTACACATATTTAATAGAGTTTACAGCAGCTACAGCACCCTGAGAACAGACACCTGCAGTGAGAGCAGGGGATCTACAACCCTGCACATCTTAATGTGCCTTATAGGCACATCTTCATGCTAAATACATGCTGACACGAGGAGCACAACTCCCTCTGCCTTATGCATACAGACTCATGAGAGCTATTTTGCCTTACAAATAGTTCCAGACTATTTCAGAAGATAGGGAAAAATTAACTTAAACTGATGCCAAGAGGTACAAAATACATGCTGCTGTGCCAGTGAGTCACACCTTAATGGTTTGACCCCCACAGAATATTAACAAAATATGCTAAAGTAAACTTTTCAGCAGTAGGCAGGTCTTGGACACGACTATTGTACTTGGCTGCTTCCTTACAAGGTGTTTGTAGTAAAACTGTTCTGTTCCACAAGAGTTTGATGACAGCCAAGTGACTGCTGTGCTCCTACAATGGCCTCAGTCCTAGTTTCACATAGGGCAGGATAATTGGGAAAGTCAGCACCTCCTAGCACCAAGGTGCCGCTCGAGTTACTAAAAGGTATCTGCTTGCTCCTTTGAGGCAGAGAGGAGAGTGAGGAAGGATGAGCTGGGTGACAAGGGCAAGGAGCAGAGACAGAGAGAGGACTGCTGGGCAATGAAACTGCTGCTGAATCGGGCTGGAAAGCACGGAACAAAACCTATCATCTAAAGCTCATCTCTCTCCCGAGCCCAAAGCAGGAACCCGGCACCTTGGGATTTATTGTCTCCACACAGCCTGCGCCCGTTTCAGGGCAGCTACATCAGAAATAACCCAGCTGCTGCAGAGATGCTGCCAAAGGCTTGCTAATAAATGTACAACAGCCTTCCCAGGCTTTGCGAATGGGTACATGAACCTGCTGAAACTACAGTGCTATTGGAAAAATTCTGTAGCAGATGCGATCCTTTACGTTAATTTTGCGACATATGAAGAACAGATGTATAGATAACAGATTACAAATGGGAGTTTTACAGCGAGTAACACTAGCAGGAAGAAAAAGAAAGTATTAAAGGGGGGAAAAGCACTAAGGAAAGAACTGAACATATATATATATATGATAGATATCATGATAGATAGAGGTAATGATGGCAACAGCTTTGTTTCCCTTTTGACCCTAAAGGAAATGTTGGTGACAGGAGTGCTGTGCCGCGCCGCACAACCAAAGGGCAGCGGCCGGAACGAGCTTCCCTCGTTCGCCCTGCGAGCCCCGAGCACACGCAGCCCCAGGACGGGAGCTGCGGCCGGCAGTGCCCGGGGACGCGAGGATGTCCCCGGGCATCCCGGGCACGCCGGGCGGCCCGGCTGCGCCCCGCGCCCGTTTCGCTTTCCCTGCTCCCCGTCCCGCCCGGCCCGGCCCCGCTCACCGCGCTGTGCCCGCTCCGCCCGGCCGAGGGGCCGCACCGCCCCGCCGGCCGCCGTGAGCTCACGGCAGCGTCACTCGCGTCACGGGCCAGCGTCAGCCCCGGGCCCGCGGAGCAGCGCCCTGCCGCATCCTCCGCGCCCGGCCAGATCCCCCGGCTCGGCCCCCGGCGCACCGCGGCTGGCAGCAGCGCGAAGAGCAGCCGGTACAGCACTCCGAGCAGCCGGTACAGCACTCCGAGCAGCCGGTACAGCACTCCGAGCAGCCGGTACAACACTCCGAGCCAGGAGATGCCCAGTGTTCAGTTTAGTAACATTCTGTCTGCTTCTGCCTGGCCAAGGGATGAAGGGACTGGGGCATCTCTCTTCCGAGGAGAGGCTGAGGGAGCTGGGCGTGTCCGGGCTGAGAGGGAAGCCAAGAGGATGGAGCAGGCTCTGCTTGGTGGTGCCAGCCAGCTGGACACGAGGAACGGGCAGGAAATGATGCCCAGGAAGAACTTCTTCCCTGTGCAGTGACTGAGCGCTGGAACGGATTGTCCAGAGAGGGTGTGGAGCTGTCTCACTGGAGCTACCCCAGAGGTGTCTGGACAAATCCTGTGTCCTGTGCTCTGAGATGGCCCTGCTGGAGCAGGGATGTTGGAGCAGATGCCCCACAGTGGTCCCTTCCAGACTCACCCATTCTGTGATTCATTTTTTGGGAAAAAGCCTAACATGCACAAACACTACAGTTCCTCAGCTCTGCACCCCTGCAGCTAGACTTGAAAGTGAGACAAGCAGCACAAAATGTCATTAGTTAATGGATACTCTGCAAAGCTGTCTCTGTTTATCTTGCTCATCTGTTAATGCAGATTAGGTAAATCCACTTATTTCCTAGTGCTGCCAGCAAATATTCCTCAGCCCCCTCTGACTGTGAGGAGAAACTGATCCTTCAGCGACTGCACTGCACTCACCAGGACACAGAGCAAGGTGGCCTTCCATCTGCACCACTGACGTGGCTGCTGGCATTAAATGAAACACTCAAATGCATTTCTAAGAGACAAAAGCAGGCCCAAATCAATGCAGCAGACAGAACAATCAGAGAGTTTATCCCCTTGCTCAAGCCAGATCACACACAGGGCAGAACTCTGAAGCAGACATGTAAGAATACACTAAGTACTTGTTTTATAGACAGGATGTGTTCAGGGCTGAGGCACTCCAGAGATGGCATGAGCCGTAAGCCTGGCACCACACACATCCCAGCACAGCTGCACTCAGAGCTGGGGCAGAGCCTGCCCACTGCTCCCTTCTCCAGGACAAACAGGATCCATTTCCTGGCTGTGACCACAGCAGCTTCCCCACCCTGACTCCACCAGCAATTCCACAGCCTGGCAGGACACAGGACTTTGCTATAGGCCACTGTGGGAATTAATTACTCTGCAATTTGTTCCCTCAGATGCAGCCAAGAGCACTCAGCTCAAAAACGCTCCACACTCAGAGCTACAGAGAGGAGCTGGCACAGCAGGGCCCGCAGCAGCCAGTCTGCCTTGCAGTTACACACTGCAGTTCTGGGCATTTATTCCTTTTCTGTGTGGGCTGGCAGAGATCAGCCCTGTCTTATAAACGTGCCTGTTACATCATGATGTTGGTCATACTGCTTTGAACATGAATGTAATTACAATCCTGTTGGTTTTTTCCCATTCTTTCCATTTATTCTTCTTTTGTATTTGTGTTATGATCACTCTGTCCCTGATCTGCCTTTACCCTTGAGTGTTGTCTTACAGACTCACACAGTGACAGAAGGGATCACCATTGTATTAGCAAGCCCTCAGACTGTATCAGGCAGTAAGAATTAGCTGGTTTTTCCCTGCTTAAATCTAGTTTGGTTATCTCCAGTTAAGCAAATCTACAACAAATTATTAGAAGCCATAGACATTGTTTGCTGCTTTCTTACGTGCAGAGAAAGCTGCACTGCTGCCAGGAAGAGAGAACCTGTTTGTGATGTTAGTTGTCTGCTTGCTACCAGTAATTGAGCTTTTAATTTTTTTATTTTTTTTTTTTTTAGGTTTTAATTTGGTAGCTATGCTTTCCACTTTTTCAATTTTTTTTTTATCACTTCATCAAGTAACACAAAGCTTGTCTCTATAATTTAGAGCTTTGATTGTTCTGGAGTGGCTTATTCACAATAGATTGCAATAGATAAATACTGAGAGCATCCAGAAATGCTGAATGGTCCCAGACCTGGCTGTTCAATATTCTGTTCCTTAGAATTTCTCCAGGGCTGCAATGTCCACCTTCAAACGCCATTCTTTCAGAGCTGTACAACAGAATTAGTCATCCATGACTTTCACCAGGCTCTACCTTGCCTCCTGTCCCAGGATTCAGAAGCCAAGAGCAGTGGGGATGCAGAGTTTCAAATCCCTACAGGGATGGCTGTCTATGATCCCAGTCTTTGGCTACCACTAGAGAATCATCACAGTCCTTTGAGCTAGAATAAAACAGACACCAGGTTGTAAATAAGTTTTAATAAAAATATTTGAACAAGGTATTGCAAAGGTTTTTACAGTAGCTGCTGGAATATCCAGCATTTAAGCAATTCATCTGGGCACAGTTACAAACCACAGAAAACGTAACAGGTTTTAGACGTTGCATGTGTTTTAGAAAGAATCAAATCTCCAGAGTCCCTCCTAAGATCTGCCTTCAAGGCACCTCTAGACAGGTTCCAGATTGTTCTGGTAAACTAAGCAGATGTAATAGTGTGAGTTACTTCTCAGCTCAACAATACCCAGCATGAGAAGATGTGCACACTCACAGTCAGGACAGAGCAGACAGGATGGCAGGAACACCGGGGATTTAGGAGCTCACTGGGTGTGGTTCTATCTGCAGGAGGCCCCACTGCACAGAGCCTTTCCCAAACTGAAAACAAAAAGACAGCTGTCAGATGCACAGACAAGTTCACCAAGGTTTGACCCTTTCCAGCACTGGAGTACAAGTCATCCTAGTGGAGGAACCACAATGATGGTTCTCCTGCACACCACACTGTAATTCCAGCAGTCTGCTCCACATCCAAAGGAACTTCCAGAGCTAAAAGCTACCAGAACTTAGGAACCTGCTGCTTCCAGAGCGATTACACACAAACCAGGACACTGGTGCACTGTTACAATCCCAGCAGTGTCTTTGCCTCCTCACTCTGTGCCAGGAGGGTTTCACTGGCATACTTCTGGAGCAGCTCCATCTTCTTTCTTCGTACAAGAGCTTCCTCAATCTGCAGGGACAAAAACAGGGTGGATTCAGCTCAGGTGAGATGCTGAAAACTCAGGTGCTCAGCTATACCACAACACTTGCTAATTTATGGAATACTTAGGGAGGTTTTGGAAATTCACAGGTGAAAAGTGTTACAGCATTTGCAAGGGGATTAAACAGCTGCAGAGTCAAGTCACAGAAATCACAAATTTAGGGCACTTTTACTGATGACCTGATGCAAATGAAGGTGTGTCTTGCAAAAGCCAGTGTGCATCTCTGCAGCTGAGTGCTGCTCTGCCTTACCTCCTGTTGAGTTGGCACTGGAACATGTGCAATAAATTTCTGTTGGCCATCTTCACCTTCTCTCTCCTTGCCACCTTCCTCATCAGACTGAAAAGCAAAAAAAGTTTATTTTCTATAGAGGTCATAAAAACCCCTTTTTTCTTTGCTTTGCCAGAAGGAACAAAGCATGGTCAACACTACAAACACAGCACTGAGTGAACAGGACCCAGCACCAAAAGAACACAAGGATCACATGCAGACCCTGCTCCTGGACACTTTCAGCATTACTGCTTCCATTTCTCATATGGCCTTTGCTCTGCTGTGGCATGGCCATGACTGTAAAGCTGTATTTCCTCCCCTTCCATAACTCTGGCTGCCACAGCAAAGCTGTGAACAGAAGAGGAGCCAGCTAAACAAGACAGCAAGTGCTTTAAAAATATGGATACCACTTCCCTGTACAGCTCTGTACTGCTTTGGTCCCACACCTAAGAGCTGGGCTTATGAACCATGGGATCATACAAATAAAATAGGTACTGCAGGAGCCACCAGATCCACCTGATGGATTCCCCCTTGCCCCCACAGGTCCTTGGCACAGTAACACCATGTCCAAGAGGGAAGCACAGAAGACTCATGGAAAGTCACATCACCTGAGCCACCCCCTACCTCTTCCTCCTGGACAGCATAGATGTTCTCTTCCTCCTCCTCCTCGCCTCTTGCAAGTCGTGCTTCTCTCTCCATCTTCCATTTTTCCACTGCTTCTGCTATAACTGGGGAGCAAAGGAAAATGGCAAGTGTGGCTGAAAGCCAGTCAGAGCAGCATGGTCTTATTGCCAGAGCTCTTCCAATGGACCTAAATCCTCTACAACAGATAAAAAGGTGCCTTAACTTCAGAGTCCATCACCACCCCTTGCTGGGCTGCTCTGTGCAGGTTTGGAATCTCACATACCTTTCTTCTCATGCTCCTGCTCCAGGGGCTCCAGAATCCCATCATCTTCATCCCTGTAGCCATAGTACTCAGCGTCGATGTCCTTCATGAGCTCAGCCCGAGTCTTCCGTGGGGGTGGCAGGGCTGCAAAAACACCACTGTCACCCACCAGGTCACCCCCACCACCTGCTGAGTGTCCCCAGCTTGTGCCAACCTCACAGCACCCACAGCTGCCTCATGCCAGCCAACACCCAGCACGATGGAGCTGCTGTCAGCACTGGGAGCACTGCTGTCACCCTCTGGCCTGCACAAACCAGTTCCAGCACATGACCCAATGGTTCCCCCATACCCTGGAGTATTTCCTGTCTTTGCCTCGCTTTCAGGCACAAACAATTTCCACTCATTCCATGACAAATCCCCCTACATCCAGTTTTTCATTATGAAAACTAATTCCTGCTTCTAAAATTATGTTCAACCCAACTTTCCCTTTTTCTAGTCCTGAACTCTGAGTAACATTTACAACTTCTCAATAAAGTTTGCCTCTTATGCCAGAATGTTTCTACAGGCCATCAGTCCTTACCATTTGGAATTCCCAGCAAAAACCAGTTTACTCTTTACTGTATTTCCTTAATTGAAAAAAGTCAAAGGTACTCTTAGCATTTAATTATCTGTGCTCAGTGTTTCACTGAGCTGACCTAAGACTTTCAGAAATGCTGTTACCAGCACTCCCCACAAACTACCACAGCATTTTATACTCAAGATATTCTGCTACACAGATTCATGCCTAGGAAGAGCTGCTCTTTACTTACGTTCCTTTTCAAAAAGCTCTCTAACTCCTGGCAAATCCTTTGCAGCCCCAAAGTATTTGTAGCCTCTGTTTCCTGGAACCTCTTTCCCTTCATGATCTAACATTTTCGGGCCAATCCTCTGAAAAATAAACAGAGTTCACAGTTTAAAACTTTCTTCTAACACAGCCAAACATTTTAGGGGCTGAATAAAAATAGCTCTGGCCAAGCCATCCATGGCTAACTGAATGTTATGTATTTTTCCCAGCAGTCACTTCACTTGTAAGCAGAACCACCATGCAGTACAACACATTCCACACTTACAGCATAATCTGGGCCTCCCAGCTCCTTTATTCTGTATTCCCAGTGTCCTTTCTCCCTCAGAAGTTTGTTTATTTCATCATTCAGGTCCCGAATTCTGAATTCACCCAATCCAGCTGTCAGAGAGGAAAAAAACCCAATAAATCAGGCAGCTCAGAAAAACACCAGAGGAATTTCAGAATTTATGCAATGGAAACAGCATAGTTCACATGAAATGGGATTTTTACTGTAACTGCTTATGACTGGATATTCAAAAAATAAAACATAGTTAGAAAAACCTTACCATTTTGGATCTGTGCCACTTTCTTGGAAATCTCCCCAATGATCTAGTCAAATAAGAACACAGAAATGAATTTCTAAATCAGTGGAGGGAACAAAGGAGACAGAGCCAGATTGTTTGAGAAAGGCATGGCAACAGGACAAGCAGCAATAAAACACAAATTGAAACTGGGGAAATTCTGATTAATTTCAAGGGGAAATAAATCATTAGGAAGATAATCAAACATTGGAACAGCAGCCCCAAAAACATGGAATCTAAATCCCTGAAGATATGAAAGACTCAGCAGGACATGGCCTCTCAACACTGAGAAGTACAATCTTAGAAAATGTTCTGTGATTTAACTGTCAGGGTACTGATGAGTGTGGAAACCCCTTGTAAGCAGGCTGTCTAAGCAGGAATTCCTATAGAATTAGAAAATCCACAGGTTGCCATTACCTGTCTCCTCCATTTCTCAGCCTTGGGCAGCTCATTACACTCTGACGCAAGGAAAGGCCTTCGCTCCTGTTGGACAGAAAACCACACACACTCACCATGGTCCCGCCGTGCCCTCAGCCCCTCAGTCCCGCCGAACGCGCTGTGCCCGCTGCAGCTCCACACCCCGGAACAGAACCCGGCCCCGCTCCCCAGTGCGCCTGCGCGCTCCGCTGGCGCAGGATGCGGTGACCCGCGCGGCGCATGCGCGCTGCCGGGCCCCGCTGGATGAACATGGAGGGCTCGGGAGCGGGGGGACCTTGGGGACACTGCAGTGCCACCCTGCCGCTGTCCCGGGCTGCTCCAGGCCCAGACAGCCTGCCCTGGGACACTGCCTCCCCTCCCTTACATGTAAAGAAGCTCCTTCCAATACCCGATCTAAATTTCCCTTCCGTTGTACCCACTGCCCCATGTCCGGTCGCCCAGTTCCCCAGGAACAGTCATTCTCTGTAACCACTTCATGAGTTTGCCATAGCAAATAAGGAAATACCTCAAGTATTAGTGAAAAAGATCAACATGAAACATACGAAGAATTGATTTTTCCCATGCCCCACAATGTATGAAATCACCACTTGCTTGCCCAGCTCCTGTTCACTGGGGGAAAACTGAACAGCAGCACCAATGTTCTCACAGAAAGATGACTAAGGAAGAGACATCTCCTTTTGAAGTAATTTTCTATTTCTGGAACTTACAGCCTGCTTTGTGTTCCTCAGCTTTTAAATCTTGGGGTTTTTTTGTATAAAAATATAGATTTTTAGAGGAAAACGCCACTTTGTAGTTGTCACTTAAGTCACAAAGACTTCCAAGTCTTTGTAATCAGAGGTCCAAACTTTACTGCTGTTTAACTAAGGTAATTGCGTGCAAAGACTTAATTTGTCCCAGCCCAGCAGGCTGAACCATCATGTGCTGTGTATCTGCACCACCCTGGTTCCTGAATTACCAGGAATGTTACCCCACAGTGACTGCAATGGTAACAGACACAAGTGCCAGTGCCAGTTCAGCTCTCCAGCACAGCTGCAGGTGCCAGTCTGGTACTGCTCCTGCAGGGACAGACACCACAGCCCTGTTCTCACTGCTACAGCACCCACGACTGGAAAGGAAAACCTTAGTGACAACTCACACGTGAGTCCAGCACAGCACCCCTGCCCCCAGCTGCAGATCCCACAGGATGTGCCCGGCTGGAGCACAGCCAGCAGCTCGGAACCCAGCGCTCACACCAGGTGCCAGCACACCCTTCTCCAGCTGCCTCAGGGTGAAGCACCCGTCACCACCCAAGAGTTCCTGCACACCAAGAATTGATTTACGGAGCGTGTGTGAAGATCCTCTCTCTATGAGCTCCCTTCCCAGCTGGTCACCGACCCCCCGTGAACCAGCACAGCCTCCAAGTGGATTTACGGAGCGTGTGTGAAGATCCTCTCTCTATCAGCTCCCCTCCCAGCTGGTCACCGACCCCTGTGAACCAGCACAGCCTGCAAGGACAGGTGGCTTAGGTTCTCAGTGCCACTGTGACAGCTCAAACACTGCTCTGACCTACTCAGAGTCTGGAACTCTCTGCACCTCCAGCAACACCCTCCTGTAGTGGTTTTTCCACTAAAGGCTTGAAGTGCACCAGCACAGCTGCAATCAGCCCCCATCCAGCCCCCACTCCCACAAACATGTGCAGACAGGACCTTAACATGAGACAGCAGAAAAGAAAAGGCCAAGCTGAACCTCCACATACCCCTTTTAATATGTTGTTTTGCACTGTGTACAGGAAAACCAAAAATAAACAAAAGGAACTTTAGCCAAACTCCCCTTCCTCCTCCAGCTTTATTGATAGTTTAAAATTACATTTTCTATGTTCTAGGACTTCAATTGCTCTTACCATCTTACTTTAAAAACCGATTACAAGCAAATGAAACTCAGTTGTCTAAGTGATATAGTATACAAAAATAACATCTTGATTTCTGTGAAAATGCATTTATTTGCAACTCCTGAATAGCTCCAAATTGTTTATGCTATGAGCACTGATGTCTGGGTTTCAGATTGACTTTGAGATATTTATTCAAAAGCTTCCCATTGCATTCTGTATCTCCAACATTAACATTCACTGACTGAATTACTGTTACTTTTAGATTTATTTCAGATTTCTCTCTCTCTCTCATGGCCATTAACAGGCATGTGCATCTTGTTTGTTTACTCCCACTCAGCTATATGCTCTAGGTAGGGCCTGATGCAGATATCACTTGGTGTTAACAGCTACTGAGGTCAGACAATCCAAGGCCATTGTAATAAAATAAAAGTTATGAGGAAGTTTAGACACTTCCAGAATTTCATTCCTCCTGCATAGGATCACTTCCCTGTAACCCAGAGAGGGTTTTTGCTGGTCTGACTCAACTCTTCCCACTCATCAATCCCTATTCACCAGTGGCACGGAAAGGGGGTTCTTTAACAAAGCATTATACATAACACCTCTACCAAACTAAACATAAACATTTTTGTAGTTAAATGCAGAAAGTTGATTTTTCCACCCCTTTCCTCCTTTTACACGGCAAGTAAAGCTCACTGGCCTGGGAGTAGCCTCTATCTGCCAACCTTTGGCCAGTGAAGAGGATTCAGAGAAAAATAATACAACCATCAATCAGAAAAAGGAGGGGCGACAAAGGAAAATAATTAGGCTGTAGCTTCAATTGTGCATTCCCGTGCAAGGTGCCCTGACTCGCCGCAGCGGTAGCAGTTGACTTCGCTGGTCTTGCTGCAGTTGATGGCTACATGGCCAGTTTCACCACACCTGCAAAAGCAAAGCTTCTGTCAGAACAGCCGCAACACTCACAGGAGCAATCCTACTCTGTCCAGGGCATTGTCTATTTCATTTTCATGCAATGCTAATTCTGCACTCAAGGCTTCTGTCACAGAATTCTCTGACAGGAAGCAAGTTTGTCTTCAGCAGAGCCATGAACTGCCCCCAAATTATCAACTCACATTAATCACTGTTCATGCCAGAACCACGGTTCATGAGCTTTGTGTGTTTGCAGGGTTTTTTCCAATTGTGTCCTGGGTTTTGCCTGTTCCCAATCTTATTATTGCAGTTTAGCCTTGTTTTGAGAATAATTAGTTTTAACTCAAATACACCATGTTCTCTCTCCTTCCTCCACAGAAGGGAATGTTGGTGGGGGTGAAGAATCCTGCTCTCAGGAACGTGCTGTTTCTGGTATATGCCTGCACTCAAAACCAGACAACGCTCTGAAGATGGCATTTCAAACTAATTTAACACCCACTTCTATTCACTGTTCCCATAAGCAAAGCATCTTCAGTGTGTTGCTGCAGGGGCTGGCTGTGCCAGTCAGCTGGGCAGTACAGCTGGGTTTGTTAGCTCTGGCAGAAGACACATGGTGCCTACCTCTGCTACAGCCAAGGACCTCCTGCTACTTTCTGCAAAAGGATAGGACCCTTTCTGCACAGCTCAACTGACCCAACACCTGCATTGGGTGGCCATCTAGAGATACATCCCAGAATCTCTACTCCACCTTGCTAGTAAGTGTTTAAGCCTTAGTTCTGAACAACAGTGGGTAACTGTTCAAACAAACTGTATTTCCTAACCAAAACCAGACACAAGTGCACCCAGCACAAGAGGTGCATCTCACAGCTGCCCCCTGTCAGTCCTTACCTGTAGCATTTCACTTTGGTGCAGTCTTTCTGAATGTGCCCAAACTCTCCACAAGAATAGCACTTCTGCTCGTCTGCGTGGTCGCAGTCGCGGGCCAGGTGGCCGGGCTTGCCACAGTTGTAGCAGCACTGCTCCCTCTCCCTCTTGGGCTCCTTGCAGTCCTTCGCAATGTGGCCACCTCTACCGCAGTTATAGCAGGCTTCCACAATAAGAAAAACATACCAAACAAGACTATAAAACCTTGGTAGCGCGAGGGGCAGCGTGCTGTGAGCAGGGCACATGCACAGCTTGCTCCCAGGGAAGCCCAGCACCCTTCTCTTCAGCCACAGAAGTGGCACTGAAGAGATGGAATATTTAGTGATACTTACCATCCTCCTGAAGGTCACAGTCCTTGGCAAGATGGCCAGACTCACCGCAGCGGTAACAGATATCCGGCAGAGACGAAGACATGAACTGGAAGCCTGCTTGAAATGGATAAAAGAAAAAAACAGGAGTAAATATTAAGTTCAAAATACTTTTAAGAATCAATCACAAACTGAATTGACAAGTATGCTTCACTTTAAGAGCCCCTGGCCAAACTCTTAGGTAGAGGCAAATTTTCCTGGTTCTTATTACCAATTAGGATTCTCAGCTTCTTCACTCAGGTTTGCCAGAGCCTGGTTTACTCACTGCACACAGCAGCCAGCTGGAGATCTGCTGTCCAAAGAAAGAGAACAGCACAGCCCCACTCACCTCTGCCACGGCTCCTCATGCCACGGCCACGGCCCATCCCAGTGGGGCACTCCCGGGCCCAGTGGCCAGTACGGCCACACTTGAAGCACTCGTTGCTGCTCATGGCTGCAGATCACCTGTCTGAACAAGAAAGACATTTCTGAGCACCTTCTGCTCCCCCAACCAAAGGCTACATTAAAATGAGAGCTTCAGAGGTTTCCCAGCCCCTCAGCAAAGGCACAGTGCAAACCACACAGGACCTGCAGCTAAGTCAGTACTTTCTTGTACAGTATTTGATCATGACCACTGAAACCACCTCAGAGGATACAAGTTCGACTCCACTTTGCTTTGAGTAAGAGCTTTGAACAGACAATGTGCTATGTAACTTTTAATTATTTTGTAGCCAACCTTTACTTCAAGAAATTCCAAAATGTGCAGGGAGAGGGAAAGAGAGAAGGAAATCCCTCTAACTACTGCAGTAGCAGCCTTAAGTCAATATCCCTTTCAGTAAAGCACCTTCTTCCTTGTTACTGAGAGTTAAACTCAAAAGCCAGACACTTAATCTCTACAAGTTATTTCCTCCTGGTAGTTGTTACATTTTCTCTTTAAGGACCTGCCTGGCAACTACTACCTGTACTGACTGGAAGCCAAGAATAGGCAGTACTAAACCTAAAGCATGCAAAAGCCCTTCAGCTTAACATTTGAAACCTTTAGGTCTTTTATGTCCTAAACAGCAGTTTAACTCTGAAAAGCCAAACTACAACTCATAATTAACCTATAGCTCAGGATGCATATTCCACTCCAGGTACACATGAAAGAAAATGTTTTCAGGTGTTAAGACAGCAGACACCTGCCAACTACGTAGAAGGCTAACTGGGCAAAACATCCTTAGAATGCTCTGGAAGCACCAGACAGGCAATTCTGACAGTCCAAACTGGGAATGCAGAGCAGTACTGCATGAGCAGAGCCAGGCTGCACAGCCCACAGTGGACAGGGCAGGTTCCAGACTGTGCTCACACTGCCACACCTCCCCGAGCTGCAGGACACTCATACAACACCTCCAGAGCCAGAGAGAAAAGAACAAGGAAGTTACACATCTAAACTGAAGTCTTTTTTAAAGCATGCTTTAAGACAAGTTTTAAATACACTGGTCTAAAAATATACATGTCAAGCTTTGTTTTGATGAAGTCTCCTGAAGTTTAAATACCTCACAT